AGAGGCTTACTTTGAATCCTTTGTCCCCAAATTGAGGTTTCACTTTAAGCAAAGGGTGCAGACCTGACCAGTGGCAGGAACCAAAATCCATTACTGTTAGCAATGCTCAAAAGGATGCACACCTTTCTTCCCTTTAATTACTATGTAAATAGTTTAGTTAGAATTAGGTTCTGAATCAAGCACACCTGGTTGGGCTTCATCTTCAACTCCACCACTTACTTAGGTGAAGATATTTAGCCTTTCTAAGCCCGTTTCCTCACTTGTAAGGGGGGAGATAAAGAGAAATATCTCTATCACAGGGCATTTGGTAAGGATGAAATAAGATAATGCATAGTGCCTGGGAACACAGTATGTATAGTAAATCAATGTATGGTAGCTGCTATAATAAGGACCTATGAAGATAAATCCATGTAATCTCTAAGTTTTTGAAGACTTTAACGTAACTATTTCTGATGTTAAGAACGTTCATATTAGCTAGCCTTATTTTCCATTGTTGCCCAGGCTAAGGACTGTACACAGAGTTCTTGAGAGCTCTCTGTGGCCCATGTTTGACCACTCCTGTTTCTGGTGCCTTGCTGGTTCTCAGGGCTACAGCAGTACTAGGGAACAGGTTAGGAACTGCTGATCTTGTGTCATGATGATCTGAACCACAGTCAAGGCCTTGTGATTGTGTGTGTGTTGTTTTGATCTTGCAGGGAAGGAACACTCAGTTCTGAGAAAAGTGCTGTTGGAGGATGAGGTCTTGGCCGCCATGGTATCTGTCATTGGCACTGCCACCACACACTTGAGCCCTGAGTGAGTATAATCATGGATGTGGCTTGATCCCAGAAAGGACGGCAGTCTTGGGAAGAAGGAGCAGACAGCTGCTTCCTGAGCTGTCCTTTTCCCCAGCATCAAATGTGGAGGCAGTTATTCGTTCTCTAAGTTTTGCTGGCAAAAGAGGAAGGGGCTTTTAGCACCATGGACTGTGGGGGTGGGTGGACCACGGACTAATGTAGCTGCAGATGTGCAGAAGAATCGCCTGTGGAGCAATTTTTAACTATACATTTTCTCTCTAGATTGTAAGCTTCCAGGAGAACAGGGACTTGGTCTGGTTCACTGCTGTATCACCAGGGCCTAAAATGGGAACGGTTCCTGGCATATAACATGTGCTGAATTAATATTTGTTGAATGCATGAATGACCACGCTCAGGCCCGTTGACTCAATGACTCTATTGGGAACCCCAGGGCTGCTTTAGAACCCTGGCTCCTTGGTGATATCTAGTGCTCTACCCTCAGCTTAGCTGCCCAGAGTGTCACCCGCATTGTGCCCCTCTTCTTGGATGGCAACATCTCCTTTCTGCCTGAAAACAGCTTCCCTTGCAGATTCCAGCCATTCCAGGTGAGGGTCTGATGGATCAGATGGGGAAGAATACTGGGACTTCTGTCCTTCCAATTTGTAGGGCTAATCTGGGATGAGTATTGGGGCAGACAAGCCTATTGCTGGCAGGACAGGCTCTAGGGCTCTTTTTCCTTTGTAGGATGGCTCCTCAGGGCAGAGGCGGCTGGTTGCACTGCTTATGGCCTTTGTCTGCTCCCTGCCTCGAAATGTAAGTGGGCACATTTGAGGAGTACTCTAGTTTAACCCTGACAAGGGGATGTGGGTCCCAGGTGACTTCTGGGCTGAAATTTGTCACAGGCTAAGCTGATCTGCTCTCCCCACTGGAGAATTTAGTTCTTGTCCATCCTGGCCCCTGCTGCCACTTTCTGCTGTCTCTCTTAGAGTTCAGGTGTTCTCTGGGTTCCTTACACGGCCAGGTTTTCTGCAGGTGGAAATCCCTCAGCTGAACCAACTCATGCGGGAGCTTTTAGAGCTGAGCTGCTGCGACAGCTGCCCCTTCTCCTCTACCGCCGCTGCCAAGTGTTTTGCAGGACTCCTCAACAAGCACCCTGCAGGTACTAGAATGAGGCTGCAGGTCGGAGCCTCCCTGATTCAACTACCGATGAATCTTGAAGTTCAGTCCTCCGCCTCTTTAAAAGTGTTCTATCTAGTTGTGTCATCCTACTCCCTACAGGAAGCTATTTGGGATAATTCTTTAGTAGAAGTAGACAGCTCTTTTCGAATGCCAGCACTCATGCATCATGAGAACACCAGGGTCTCACACTGGTGTGCTAGAGCTGAGTGGGCAAAGTCCACAGCCAAAATGATATTGTTCTTTTCTAATGGCTTCTCAGGGAGCTCTGCATTTAAATGATTTACATCCTTCGTTGTTAAAGGAAAAACATGTAGCCTTCGTACCAACATTTCCTCCCTCCTCTTTAGGGCAACAGCTGGATGAATTCCTACAGCTGGCTGTGGACAAAGTGGAGGCTGGGCTGGGCTCTGGGCCCTGTCGTACTCAGGCCTTCACATTGCTTCTCTGGGTAAGGAGTTGGAATGGATTCTGGCTAGAGAGAGACAATTATGTCTGGTTAAATAAAATTTTTCCATTTGACCTTGAACCGTAAGCATACTTCTTTGACTGCCATGCCCTGACTGTTCTCTTCTAATTACAGGTAACAAAGGCCCTACTGCTCAGATATCATCCTCTCAGCTCCTGCCTTACAGACCGGGTAAATCCATTCTGGAGACAGGAGAACCTAGGACCTAAACAGGAACTTCCTGTTGATCCTTTTCCTCCTAGTAACAACTGCCATTCTCCTCTGGGTATTTAAGATTCTTCTCCCCTGATGTACCTCAAAGGCTCCTTTTTCTCCAGCTCATGGGGCTCCTGAGTGATCCAGAACTAGGCCCAGCAGCAGCTGATGGCTTCTCTCTGCTCATGTCTGACTGCACTGATGTGTTGACTCGTGCTGGCCATGCTGAAGTGAGGATCATGTTCCGCCAGCGGTTCTTCACAGATAATGTGCCTGCTTTGGTCCAGGGCTTCCATGCTGCTCCCCAAGGTGAGGAGTCTAAAAGAAAGGCCCCAGAATGTAGACCTCTCCTTTGCTCAGGCCACATTCTCCAAAATAATTCAGGACCTCAATGCTTGTTTCCAGATTCTTGTCCCACTCTTTCCCTTTCTTGGGCATATCTTACTTATTCTGAGCTTGAGGGGCCTGGGCATATCTTGCTTATTCTGAGCTTGAGGGGCCTTTTTTTCCTAACCACTTTGTAGGCTGATGTCGCAACTTTATGAGGGATTAGAGTCGAATTCTCAAGCTGTACATTTGTGCAGTTTCTCCCAATCTTTTCCATTTTTTACAGATGTGAAGCCAAATTACCTGAAGGGTCTGTCTCACGTACTTAACAGGCTGCCTAAGCCTGTGCTCTTGCCAGAGCTGCCCACGGTAAGCCTTGCAGTCAGAGCCTCTAAGCAAGGGACCAAGTCATTGTTCCCCAGCTGGGGCTAGAAAGGGGAGGAGGAGAACCAGGCTCATCACCTATGTGGTCATCCCCACTTTTCCTGTGCCCCCTTAGCTGCTTTCCTTGCTGCTGGAGGCCCTGTCCTGCCCCGACTCTGTGGTCCAGCTCTCCACCCTCAGCTGCCTTCAGCCTCTTCTATTGGAAGCACCCCAAGTCATGAGTCTTCACATTGACACCCTCGTCACCAAGTTCCTGAACCTCAGCTCTAGCCCTTCCATGGTGTGTTGAGCCCCAACAACTCTTGGACACCTACGTCTCTCCTTCATGGGTCTCCCCTCACCTCCTTGTGGTTGTGTTCCAGGCTGTCCGGATTGCCGCACTGCAGTGTATGCATGCTCTCACTCGCCTGCCCACCCCTGTGGTGAGTACCTCAGATGTCCCTCTCTGACCTGAAAACTTAGAAGAGCCAGAGAAGTACCTTTTTGCCATAGTCAAGTGGGACTGGCCGCCCTGCTGTGTGACTCACGTATGAACTGCAAGGTACGGATAGGCAGGGGTTGCCTGACTACCCTATAATTGAATGGCCATCCTACCACATAGCATACGTTGGAATCACTAAAGAATAGGAAGAATATTAGTTGTAGAGTCAGAGAAGCAGCTTTAGGTAGCCTTGATTGAGCAAAGCTAAGATTAACTCTTCTAACTCCACAGCTGCTGCCATACAAACCACAGGTGATCCGGGCCCTAGCCAAACCCTTGGATGACAAGAAGAGACTGGTGCGCAAGGAAGCAGTGTCAGCCAGGGGAGAATGGTGAGTTTTTAGGTCATGGGGAGAGAGGGGATTAAAATGAGCCTTACCACTAACGCTGCCAACATTCTTCTTGCCTACAGGTTTCTGCTGGGGAGCCCTGGTAGCTGAGCCCTCTGTCCTGGCCTAGACTGTTCTGACAGACAATCTTACCTAGAATTACTAACTATTGAGCCATCTTGCCCAGGGCAGGGAGACCACCGGCCTTTGATTGCCTTTCCCACGGACACGGCACAAATGCTGGGCCTCTGTTGCATGGCTGTCCAAGAAACATAGGAATCCTGATTTCTAATGAATTTGTGAAGTAACTGAGTGTGAGACCACTTGTATTTGAGGAAAGATCTTGGTCTTGGGGCTCTTCCATTTATGTGTCAGGAAAAGGGCGATATGCTGCTGAGGGGTTAATGCTGATGCGTGTGGCCCTGAGGACCAGGGATGGTGGGTGTTGTGTACCTGCTGGAGAATAAAGATTTCTTTTGGTAATGGGCTTTTCAGATGTTCCCCCCTCCCTCTTACTTATGTGCCTCAGTAGCACATAACCAGAAGCATCACTGCATCTGCTAGGAGAACAGTAATGACAGGGATTGGCCAAGAATTTTTCAGGGCATCCAACCCCTCCAAGTAGGGCACAGGTGGCATGACCAGAACACCTACTCACTAGGCCTTGACCCTGACTTTCCCCTTCGCTGCCCTACAATAAAGGCAAAGAATGAGAAGCTACATACCTTTAAAAATCAAATACCTTTATTTTTGCTCCCTTCAGCAGCATGTGAGAAGTGGCAGTGACCTCAGCAGTAGGCCTGGTATCTTTGCCCTGTTGAGAAGCCAGGATCTCAGCTCTACCATTCAGGTGTTTTCTCAGACAGCAAGTGGAAGAGGTGGTGGCCAACCCCAGTGCTGTGACCTGGAGGAGGGTGGGGGTCAGCACCTGGCAAGGTTGCTAGCTGCCTAATCTCCAGGCTGGGGCTGGAGCGTCTGTATGCCTGAGTAAAGGGACATCAGTCCTAGGATTTTCCCACATGGTGCCTTGCTTCTGCAGTGGCCAGGAGATGGGTCCTTGAGCTGTCCCTGCATGGTACCCTAAGGCAGGCCCACTGGTTCTTTATGCTCAAGGATTCCAAGAAGCTACCCTTGGAGGCCGTTGAGACAACACAGGAAGCAGAGTGATGCTCACGTTGTGGCTGACATAATCCAGCTCACACTGCCATCACAGAGGTTGAGTGAGCGGTCACCCAGGGAGGGGGGTCCCAGCTCATTCCGTTCCCATGGGGCAGGTGACTGGAAGGTAACAGCACCCGAGTAAGCCAGTGCCTACAAGAGAAGATAGAAATGTCTGAGTTCTTGGTCTTCCTTCCTAATCCTCCTTCCTCAGCAAGGATACAATGAAGACATCTTGAAGCTACCTTGGCATTAGTCACAAAGGTGACAAAAGTTCTAATTTTGTCCAAAAAATGTGCCCTCCAGTGCTGGAAGGCCTTTAGAGGTTTCAAGCTAAATTTCTAAGGGGCCAGTGCAAGCACAGTGACAGGCAGGAGTATAATGAGGATGGGACAGGGAGGTGGCAGGTACTTATGGTCACCTACTTAGTTCTGCCTCAGTAGCTGCAATTTGAAAAATGACTTACCCTTGTCTCCTGGGCTAAGGGAGCTAGCTTCATGTATTGTCTTAGGACGTCTATCACAAATAGATTACTTCAATCCCATAAATTACTGGCTTGAACTGCTGACTGCCATACACAGGAGAGGTGATCGGTGGCCACCATACCCTACCCTGGAGGTCCCTTCTTAAGAACAGAGGGGATTCTACTGTAGTCATCTGTAGGCCTCATCTACTACTTAAACCACAAAGTTTTGGCCTTAAGCCCCTTTGGCTCAAATGAGCAATGATCTCTTTTCCTAGAGTGTAGATCTGCACTGTCCCATATGGTAGCCACTAGCCACACGTGCCCATTTAAATTGGGAAAATTCAATTAATTGGTACATTAGCCACATTTCAAGTGCTCAGCAGCCACATGTGGCTAGTGGCTAATGTCTTAGCATAGGCCTGGAACATTCTTCTCCTCACAGAGAGTTCTATCACACAGCACTGGTCTAGATGTTTTACTTTACCTTCCTGTGTCCACACCCAGGAATACTTTCCAGTTGTCCAAGCAGCCATAGTTGTAATGATTCCTAAAAACCTAGAGCCAAGAAAAAACATGTTTCTACAAACCCTTTACATAATCCCCTTCTAATTTTCGAGCCTAAATTGGCTAAGTGAAAGCTCAGCTAGGCAAATTCTGGTCTTTTAGGATGCCTGCCCTAGTTGGCCCTAACCATAGCCTCTGTTCACAGGGCGTCAGGTTCAGTTACCCACCCACCCCTCCACCCCAAGCACTCAGCCCTACTCACTTTGCCCTTGGCCCGCAGCCGACAGCTCTCCTTCCTGTTGGTGAGCCTTTCGATACTAGTTTCACCTCGACTGATGAGAACAGCGTGCCATACAGTTAGGGCACCCAGGGCAAGTGCCACAGAACTAAGAAGAGAGGCAAAGATTGGTGGGTAAGCTTAGAGGGGGCTGGAGGCTACAAGTAGGTCTGAAAATGAGCTGAGCAATAATGACTGGCTAGGGACCTCTCTGCCTAAGTCTTCCTTACTCCCAGCCTATACATCCTAGAGGAACTTTGACTTCACTGTCTATAAAAACGATCAACATGAGCTAAAAATAACTTATGTGGAAAGGAGAGTGGGGAGAGAAGTCTGTATTACTAATCATAATGGGAAACAGCAGAGGGTAGTAAAAGCACCAGGGGTTAGAATGGGATGGCACGAAACTCAGATTCCAGCTCCACCACTCCTCGCCATGCATCATGCCACAAATCACTTCACCCCTACTTCACCGCTACTGGGTGGTTTTCCTCATCTATAAAATGCAGTCACCTATCCTTTAGGTAGGAAATTAACTTACCTTGGCACATAACACACACTCAGTGCCATTATCCTTAGTGTTCCCTGCCCCAAAATGCTGAAGAAAATTCAGCACTGACTCTGCCAATGTAAAGTGGACTAAGAACAGCAGCAATTCACACAGGGATGGGTTCCTATCTGCATGTGAGCACCTCAAAAGGTTTCTCTGAAGCTGCCCCTCCCTCAAAATAAAAAAAATGAGAATTGGATACCTGCACAGGAACCAGAGGTAGACAAGACTCTTGTGCGTTACCCTTTCTCGGAAGGAGAAGGTGGGTGGTGGGGTCTGGTGATAAGTCTAGAAAAAGAAAACAGCAATGTCTGGCTCATTTGCTCTGCTGGTCTCCAGCAGAGCCCCCTGCACCTTCAGGCAGGGAAGTGATGCAAGCCCAGGATAAGCAAATAGGGGGTTATGCCACACAGGAATCAGGGCAGCAGCCAGATGGGTGGACCAAGCCCGGCGGCATCATCATGTGGACAAACACTGGGCAGAGTGGATCTGGACAGGATGGCAAAGCACAGGAGGAGCCAACCCTGGGCATGTCAATTTGACAACACAAATGGGGCTCCAGGGGAAGCCACTCCACTCCCCAGCTAGAACTCGCACTGTGTGGCTGCAATCCCCAGAGAGGACCAGACCCACAACCAGAATGGAATGACTGGAGGGAGGAGAACTGTGAGCTCCACTCAGGACCAAAAGGGCAGCAGAGGTACAATTATGAGCCCAAGATCTGCTCAGAATAAGGAGTCCTAAATGGCCCAAGGAGAAGGGAGGATCCTGATGTGGACGCAGACAGACCAGGAGCACAGGATGATCAGACTGGCCCAGCCTGATCTCTGTCCCCTGGAACCCCATTACACAGACTAACACAGACTCCTTGCTGCTCAGGCCATCACCAAGGCGGAGTCTTTGCTCAGCCCAAAGAAGGTGATAATGGGATAGAGAGCCAAAAACCAAGGACTTCCAGCTTGCCCCCAGGCCACTTAGTCTGCCCACAGCAAACAGTCTCCCACAATGCCCCCAATCTCTTGTGGCCGCTCAGCCAGCCTCCACAACTCGACTAGCAGGTGGGCCCAGTAGCCTCAGCAACTCTATACCCCTTGGCCTGAGCAGCAGGAGGCAGTGGGGTGGGGACAGCCCACCTGGTTGGTAACCGTCTGCAGTTTGTTCTTGTCGAGCTGTTTCATTTTCTAAGGGGATGGAAAACAGTGCTGGTTATACTCTCAGGCCTCTAGGATGGCGTGCTACCTGCCCCACTCCTTAGGGACAGATGCCACTCCCCAAAGTTCTCTCTACTGAGCTGCCCTGCTCCTCATGATGGGCTCACCTCGATGGCAGCATAAGCCTCCCGGAAAAGGTCCCAACTTCCGTAGCTGCAGTAGACACAGCCCAGAGTCATGAAAAAGCAGAAAGAGAAGAAGTACCGATGGTTATAGTGGCCCACACAGTTGTTTAGCCAGGCTGGTGGAGGAAGGGTTAAGGACAAGATCAAATACACAATTTCAGGGGGTGTCCAGGTTCATGGTTCATCCTTGCTTCATGATGATATCATCCAAGCCCAGGGCTTCCAGTCACCAAGAACTATTTTCCAAAGACAGGAAAATATGGGACTTTCCAGAGGTTGAGGTGAAAGTGTTAAAGCTTTTCAGAGCCCTCACAAGTCCCAACAGGAAACCATGAAAACTGAAATCCTTCAGTAAAATGAATCTGCTAGTACTTCAACCTAGCTGGGCTGAACCAGACATCTGTATGGGACAGGAAAGGGGGACCAATGGCTCTATCTGGTACAGCCAGCGGACAACCACTAAAGCCCAAACATTTCTTTCCATTCACCAGATGTTAGCATGACAGTCTACAAAAGAAAGAACTGTTAGAATAGATGCCTTGCTCCAAGAAGATCCAGCCCAGAGAGTCTGTAAGCCTGCCCCCCCCCCCCCCCCCCCCGGAGATGGTCAGCCCTCACAACTCCTCTTCCACTAACTTCTCGTGAGCCCAGTATTTCTGCAGGGTGATGCTAGAAGCCTTAGGTTTGTGGCCCTTAACCTGTGCAGTGCTCTGGAGCTAAAGGAGGCCTCAGGCAGAAGAAATAATAAAAGGATACGGCAGTGATGATCCATCTTCAGCACACACCTGTGAGGGAGGGACACACGCTCTGTTACGGTGGCCAGGGTTCTTGAGATGTCAGTGCCAATCCTTTCCTACAAGGACCAGCATCCTGCTGAGGTGGAAAGGGCACAGACTTTGAAGACAGCCAGGCCTTGCTTTAAACCCTGCTTCACTGGCTACATGATACTGGACAAAGTAACTCATCTCTGAACCTCAGTTTCCACAAGTGGTGATAACGCCTAACTCTCAGGACCAGGTGTCACATTGCCTGGCACATCACAGGGGCTTCACAAATGTCTTATCAAACTCCAGGTCTAGGTTTGGCCTGGGGCTACAGCAAAAGGGTCACAGCTGGGGTTCCCAGAGAGCAAAGGCAAGACCCACCTGTTACAGATGCTGCAGTGGTGTGTTCGAGCTGGCTTGGGGTAAATGCACTTCTTACAGATGGAGACTGTTGCGATATCAGTCTGGCCCTGTACAAAGGGAGAAAAACATTGTGACAAGCACCATCATGTGGCAGCACCAGTTCTGTACCCCAAAGGATACCAAGGCACTCTCCCTCCACTCCTGGGACTGGCTCCTACATCGTGCAGTTCTCTCCTTCCCCCATGCCCCAAGGGACCCACCTGGGGTGGGTATCCAGGTGGAGTGGTGATGGCCTGGTAGTAATGGAAGACGATGAGGATCAGATTCCAGTGACTATAGAAGAAATGCCAGCAGAGTCGGGGCACTGAGTAGGTTCGGAGGATGAGGGGCAGGACACATAGGTAGGCAATGGCCACAATGGAACTGGTCAGCACGATCACCAGCACCACAAACACCTGCCAACACCAGTGAGGTCAGATAGATGCAGAGAGACAGCTTGCCAACACCTAAAGTAGACTCAGGAATTTCCCAGGGAGGCAGGGGGACTGGCCTCCAAAATCCAGTGTGAGTCCATCACACACACATCCCTCTGCCACCCCAAAACATCCCTTTTCCTGCTCCCTGGGCATCACTCACCACCCCACACCAGCGGATCATGTTGTCCACCAGCCAGTAGATGGGCTCAAAGGCAGCATCGATAGCAGCGTCACTGCCACCAAAGGAGTTGAAGAGCAGGGAGCGCAGGCAGACCTTGCCATAGCGCCAGCGCTGTACCAGGCCCCGGAGCAGAGGTGGGCGGCGGCGCCTGTAGCCCAGGAGCAGAAGCAGGCGCAGGCAGAGGCGGGCGGGGCCCAGCAGCAGGCTCCGCTGGCCCCGCATGGCTCCTAGGAGAGCACACCATTGTGAGGGGCCAGCCTAAGTCCGTCCCTCCCCACCTCACTGGTGGAAGAGGCCCAGAGTACCAGCTTAGAGGCAAAGACCTAAGACTGAACCCCAGCTGGGCCAGTCACCAGCTGTGGGATGTAGGAAAGTCACTTCACTTCTCTACGGAACGTGTGATGACAGTGTCCCAACCAGGTTAGAGGGGGTAGGGTCTGGAGGCTCTGAGGCTGCAGAAATCCTACTTACATTCCACCACGTGGTTGCACAGGAAATCCAAGATGATGCACACCTAGAGTAAAGGGCCACAGTAAAGGGGTGAGGGAAGAGGCAGGTAGCTCCAAGCCAAAGCAGGGTCTTTAGTGTCTGTGCCGACAGACCACTGAGTGGAGCACGGCCAATGTGCAAAGCTGCTCACTGTGGCTCTGTGGGCATGACCACTGTAGCAGAGGCTTCCCGGGGTCTTTTGTCTGCCCTAGCCCATCAACCTACCTCCTAACAACTGCTCGTCATTAAAGAACAGGCAGTGAGTGCACAGCACGTGGACCCTGCACCTAGATCTTCCCTGGTGCTATGTGAGTCTTGGCAAAAGATACTTAGCCTTCTTACTCCCTCTGGGCCGAGGTTAGAGGCCACCAGACCCAGCTGGTAGCATGAGGGTCCTTGAGTCTTGTCAGGACAGCTCAGCTACCCCTTGCAGGACATAAGATGCTTTGTTTCCAATTCCAGTCTCCGCCCCACACCAAGGACACAGAAGTCAAGACAAATTCAGGTATTCAGAGCAGAATAACACCACAGGCAGGAGACCACTGGCAGTGGGAGGGGGCCTCCATTATGAGCCATGCTGCTGGCTCATAAAGACCAGAGGGCCTGCCCGCTCTGTGATGAGTCTCCCCTGCCTTGTTCTAGCTGGACACTCAAGACCCTTTTCTGCGGTTGCTGCCCTTGGCCCCAAGCTTCCCAACCAGCCTTCCCAGCTCTTTAGCCCTCCACACAGTTCCTCTGCAAGCGCCTTCATCTCCTCTACGTGGTCTCCACCTCATCCAACAGCCCTGGGAGGTCACCTGCCCACAAGACTCAGATTCCTTCAACGATAGTTTCATCAACTCCACAGATTAAAGTCCTCACCAGGAAGGAAATTATCCGATTTTCCCCTAGGGCTACTTTGTCCTCAGCAACTCCACTGACTTATTTAACAGGCAGCTCGAAACTCAGCAGAAACTGGAGGAGGCTGCTCCACTGTGGGGATGGTTTCAGTTCAGTAACTGGAGCAAAGTACTCTCCTTGCACTTGGCTCATCCCCACAGAGGCCTTTCAAAGAAAACATTTAATTACCTCCTTCCACAAACTCTGTAACAATCTAAGGCAAAAAAAGATTCAGCAGACAAGGCCAGCAGAGAAAAAGAAAGATAATTCAGTAGGGACCTACTCTCCACACCAGGATTAAGAAACTGGCCACTCCCATCACTTCCTAAGAGCTAAGAGAATGAAGGGGCAATGTAGAAAAGGGAAAAAGAAAACCTCAAACTTCCTTCCTCCTTTGAGTTGGACTCCTATTGTTTGGAATCATGGTTTGGCTTGAAGCTTGAATTTTCAAAATAGCATACAGCCACAACCAAACGTAAGAGTGGGACAAAACATTTTACCCCACATCCAATCCAGGTGGCTCAGATTGCCCACACCACTGTTCATTCCCTTACCATGGCTAATGGAGTTTCCTACTTACAATAGCTTGCAAATAAGATGCATTCCTCATCTGTAATAAACATGAATTATATACCATCTCTCCTTTCTACCAAAAAAACCTTCCTGCTCAGATTCTCCACTTTTTGGAATGTTCTCAACCACCTCCAGAATTCCTGAGCTCTACAGGAAATGCCTGCCTCAAGGACTCGATTTACCAACTCTCATCTGCCCCATAACTTGCCTACTTAGGGTTCAGTTCTGCCCTTAAGTAGTTCTGTGACCTTGGGTGAATCTCCGGCAAATCTCCAAACTCTACTGAGGCGCAGTTTCCTTGTGTTCCTATTCAGTGAAGGGGTAGGATTAAATGCTAAGGTCCCTTCCAGTTCCACCCCTTTATTATTATTCCATATATACACTTGGTAAGATATAAATGAAATGTTTATAAAGTACTTAGCACAATACCTGGATCATGGAAGTATACAATAAATACTTGTTGAATGAATGACCTAGAGGGATGCTGAAGAGGAAAGGCTGGCCAGATGTCTATCTGTCCCACAAATAACAACAAGGGCACTTCTGCCAATGTGATAACACTAAATAAGTGTCTGCTGCTATCATTCTTCATGATCAACAAAGAGAGAAATAGAAACTGTTCTAAGAATTGTAGACTTAAGGGCTAGAAGGCATTTTAGAAAATAAGTCCAATGAGAAATCAACCCAAATAGGTAAACAGAACGCTTGTAGATGCAGAGCTACAGATCAGATTTGAGCTAACAAAGTCTGAAGCCAAACTTCTCCTCATTTTAGCTTGTGGTGTTTGGGAGGGGGGGGGGACGGACGGGTAGTCCATGGGGCTACAACTAAACACGCGGAGTTTTCCTCTGAGGAAACTGAGGTAAAGCAGAACTCAAAAAAATTGTGTGTGGTGTGTGGAGGGCAAGGAAACAATGCAAAGCACATCTTCACCCCAAGCACAAGCCGGGAGCACTCTGATCCCTCAGCAGTAGCCACAGGCCATGGTAACATCTCCACCAAATTAGAGGGGACTGCAGGCCACAGCAGTCTCCTCTTCCCAAGGCTCTAAGTCAACTGTTTCCCAAGGGGAATCTGGATTTGGGGGGCGGGAGGCGTGCAGAAGGAGGGATAGATTCCAAAACCACTAGAAGGCAGAGAAAACTGAGATGAAAGTCAGGGCAAATCTCATCTGGACAAAGATGCTCTTCTCAGTATGTTCGCAGTCTCAAGCAACAGAAGTCAATCATCAAGAGCATTTTATTCACGTGCAGACTCCCCTTCTGGACTAACGTGCCAGGAAGAGAAAAAGTTTAAGGAAAGGCTCACCCTGGAGCTCCGCTCAAGAGGATCCAACTGCAAGATCGGATGCTGCAGTTAGAAAAACCGGGAAAAGGTTTTCTCAATGAGGGTGGCGTGGTCAAAGCGTGACGGACTGGAAGTCAAAAAACTCAGGTTCCGCTTTGGCGTCTACCTTGAACTATCTTCGAGACACTGGACAAGTCAAACCCTATCTCTGGATTTGAGTTTCTAAATCTGTGAAATGGGCGAGTTGGGTAGGGAACCTCCTCCCAGCTCCGTACGTTACAGCTGCCCGGAGGGTGCGCTCCGCCTCGCTGGAGGGCAGGGCCGTGCAGGGAGGGGCGAGGAGAGAGCAGGAACCCAGGCTCACCAGAGGGCCCCGGAACAGGGCCTGACCCTAGAAAAAGGGACAGGACTGGGGAGCAAAGGCCGCGGCTTCGCTCTTACCTGCCGACTCCTCAGTCAGCCAAATCGAACCCCGCAACCTCCGCCGCCGCTCACGGCCACCTCCTCCAGCCGTGCGGCCCAACCCGGCCCGGCTCAATCAGTCCAACCATCGCCCGCCGCCCACAGCGCCAGCCTGTAAACCCGGACCCGCCACCAACCCATCCTCGACCACAGGCGCAGGCGCGCGCGGACGCGTTCCGAAGCTCCGCCCCCGCTCCCTTCCCGAGGCAACTTGGGAAATGGAGTGTACCCACTCAAGGAGGCCCTCGGAGATCACGTGACAAATCGCACCAATTGGAGTGCTTCTTACTGCGGAACTGCGCCTGGATTTTGGCCAATGAGAAGTCGACTTGGTTTTCCCTCGAGCTTGGGACAGTGGTAATCATGGCGCCTCCCGTGAGGTACTGCGTTCCCGGTAAGTGAGCGGTGCCCATAGCGAATCCTGTATAGGAACAGACGCGGGAAGGCTGGATGGCCAGCAGCTCCTGGGGACGCGTGGCTGATGCAGCGTTTTTTCTTCAGGCGAACGTCTGTGTAACTTGGAGGAGGGCAGCCCGGGCAGCGGTACCTACACCCGGCACGGCTACATCTTTTCGTCGCTTGCTGGCTGCCTGACGAAGAGCAGCGAGAATGGCGCGGTAAAGGGGGCGGCATCCCATCTCCGTCCCTACCTTTCTCCTACGCCGCCTTGCGTTTCGCGGCCGTTAGGCAGGGGCGCCGCGGACGCGTCTTTAGTGCTCACCGGTGGGACGAGCTGGTCTCTGTCTTGCGCTGTAATCCGCGCTGCTGGGCGCTCAGCCACGCGGACCAGTTGTGTTGGTCTCTCTTGGTTGTGTCGCTGACGCTTGGGGAAGGGAGTTGGGGGAAGAGCAGAGGCGAGCTCACTCTGCAGGGAGCTGAATCCTGTCCGAATGTCGCCTACTCTCCGGTGTCATCTCGCTCCCTATCCCCGCCTCGCTCTCTGCAGTCTAGTCACACGGGCTTCTTGCAATGTCGCTGATGCGCCAGGCTTTCTCCTGCCACAGAGGCTGTGTACACACCGACTATCTGGAACACGCTCCGCTCCTCCTTAGCCTGTTTAATTCCTACCCATCCTTCACATAGCTCCTCTGGGCTCACTTTCTTAGAAAAGCCCTCCTTGACCCACTAGTTGAGAGGAGTTTTGGGGTTTTTTTGTTGCTCACAAAGAATTGTATTTGTTTCCTTTCAAACGCTTGTAATTCAGCACGCAGTTAAATGTTGCCCACTAGACTTTCCCTACTAGACTCTAAGTTCCTTGAAAGCAGGCCTCACCACCACACCTTCAGCGCCTAGTACAAGATAAATTCTCAGTAAAAGATTGCTAAATGCGTGAGTAATACTGTCCTCCTTAGTTACAGAGACTGATCCAGGATTGACTCAGGATCAGATAAGCAGCCTTTGAAGTGACAGGTAGCAGAGTAGAAAGGATTCAGAATTAGTAGCTTAGGCGGTAACTAGATTCTGCTTTGGGTAAGAAAGTGAAATTCTCTGGCTTTAGGTTCTTCTTCATCTGTAAGATGAGAGGCTTTTTATTTAGTCAATTTGGGGAATGTCCTTAACATTCCTGAGTTTGTTTATTTTGTAGATATAGATATCTGTTGATGTGCCAGGCATAGTGCTGACTTCTAGGGATATGGTAATGAGCCAAATACACATGATCTCTGCTATCAAGGGGCACGCACACAAATGTAAACAAATGCTCGAATGTATAGTTACAAATGTGATGACTCCTTTGAAAGAACATTACAGGGTACCATGAGAACATATAATAGGCAAACTCCCTTAGTCATCAAAAGTGACATTAAACCTCACTCTAAAAGTTAAATAGGAGTTGGGTGGGTGAAGAGAGCTCAGTCCTGGCAGAAATAACAGATTGAACAGAGATCCTAAGATGGGAAGCAATTTAGTGAGTTGGTGAAATGGAAAGAAGGCCAGGAGAGCTGAAGCACAGTGAACAAGGGAGAGATTAATAAAAGATGAGGCTCACAAATATCTTACACCAGCCAATACCATGCTCAAAGTCTACAAGTATTCCCTTAAAATGGAAATAAACAAGTATGTCCACATTATACAACATTTATTTGGAAATTCTAGCTTGTACAATAAAATGAGAAACAGAAAGAAGTGGTATAACTTTGGAGGAAAGAGTCAAATTATTTATGATTACAGGCAATATGGTTGTATACTAAGAAATTCTAAAAAAATCACCAAAAAACTTATTAGAAGTAATCTGAAATGGTTAGATTATGTCTTCCAGCAGCATTCCTCCTGTGGCCCCCTGGCCCTCCCATTTCATAGAATTTCTAAGGCTTTCTGCTCTGGGCTACAAATCTGTAGTCCACCTGCCCTTGTGACCTCAGCTGTGGGCCAAGGCATTCCTGTATTACTCTCAAGCCACAGAAACCTTTACCCAAGGCTTAGCCAGGATACTCATGTTTTCTTGTTCCCTCTGTAGCTTCCTGTCGTGTCTGTGATGAGAGAAACAGAGTCCCAATTACTGCCTGATGTGGGGGCTATTGTAACCTGTAAGGTAAGTTGGTCCTAACCTCCCTGCTTAGGACACCCAATCATTGTAGAACTGCACTGTCTAGTATGGTAGCCACTAGCCACATGTGTCCATTTAAATTTAAATAAATTAAAATTAAAAATTTATTTCCTCACTTCCATTAGTCACATTTCAAGTGCTCAATAGCCACCAGTGGTTAGAGGCTGCCATATTGGTCAGCACAGAACATTTCTGTCATCACAGGAAGTTTTACTGGACTGTGGTGGTATAGAGATTGCCAGATAATGATCAACACAGGCAAGTTCAGGCGTGCATAGTTCTTTCACATAGCTGGTTCCCTGAGTACATAGTTTTACCTGTGTGGGGAACAGGAGCACCAGAGAGTGATAAGGAGGCCCATTTGTTAACATCTGAAGCAAGACCTTTTTCTGCAGAGAAGCAAAAGACTAAACTCTAGCATTCCTGTTACGTTTAAGTCTTTTAGGGTGTTGCAGTGGAAGTACAAATTAATGCTGTACTGACCAGTAACTGTAATACATTAGTACTCCCTGCCCATCGCCACCCTCTGCCAGGTTAAATTAACTTGTAGCTCTTAGTTTCTTTATATAAATTGCTCCAGCAGAAAATCTATGTGTAATTCTCAAAATAACTGGAGAGGCAGTGATCCAAATATGCAGCAGCTGAAATGTAGGCTTAAATTCCATCCACTATACAGGCCTTTTAGTAAGATCTATTATAAAATCTAGATTTGCTGCAATGCCATATGTCTATTTATGTTAGACTTTTGTATTTTTCAAAACCTATACCATATTATTTCATTTGATTCTCATAGTAACTCTGTTAGGTGGCCAGAGTGGCTCTTACTCCACTTTACATCTATCACTTCTGCAGGGATAAGTAGGAGTTAACTTGTGTTACATTCTATACTTAGCAGGGTTGCTTGGTTTACAGTCCTGTAATTCCTAGTTTATTGCTGCCTCCTTGAGCTGACAACTGCTAATACTCTAATGCTGATCTTCTCTCTATTCCACAGGTCTCTAGCATCAATTCACGCTTTGCCAAAGTACACATCCTATATGTGGGGTCCACACCACTTAAGAACTCTTTTCGAGGAACTATCCG